CCCGGAGGAAGCTGCTTGGAGCACTGGCTGGCCACCTACAATTCAGAAGGTCATCAGGTGGGGGAACCCTTTAAGGGTGTTTAGTAGCATCAAGTAAAATGGAAACAAAAACTCTAGAGATGAAAAGTAAAAATTAAATCTATAAATTTAATTTTCCCCCCTCAGGTTCCCAAAGAGCTCAATTTTTTAAATTTAATTCTAAGTTTCCTCTATTTTTATTATGTTCCAAAATGATGGGACATCGGAATGTGTAAGTATACATAGCTTGACTCATAACAGCCAAAGAAATATCAAAAGCGTTAACAGAACTATTTTATTCTCAGCAACAACAAAAAGCCTTCTGCCTTCCTTTCAGCACCGACTCCTCTTCCCAGCCCCACCCACCCTGAGCCAAAATTTTGCAAAAAGAGATTTTTCATGCATTATCATCCCCTTATGAAAGCCCAGTATTGAGACAATACGTTGGACTTGGTTCAAACTCCAGCCCAAACACTGTGTCATGGGTGTTTTTCAATCTCTGAGCCTCAGTTCCATCATGTTAAAAAGGGGAGTAACAGTTCCTGTTATTTTTATCAGACCCAAACACTCCTCTTTCTACCTTTCCCTCCCCAAAAATCTGCTCAAGCCCAGCTTAACCACCCCAGTACACACTGAAGTGTCAATGACTTAATATTTGTATTTGCATTTTAAGAAGTACCCACTGGAGGAGTCCTTAGCACTGAGCTGTGTCACTCCTGGTGCAATGAGACACAGCTCAGTTAGTGGGGGTGGCATGGAGGGGGTCTTCAATTCCATCTAGGTAGCTGCCTAGACCTTTTTCCGAAAGCTCGCTTTGCATTTAATATTAACACAGAAGCTGGTTTGACAAGTTGGTTTTACAAACTCAAGTTAAATAATATGAAATCCCAGCAGACCTTGGCATTGAGCGTGTGGAGACCCTCACAACAAACTGCCTTCACTTCCTTTTTCTTTTCAAGTCCCCACACACATGGTTAACTAAATGAAGACTTCCTGTGTGGGCAGCAACCACCAAAAATTTGCAGAGCCGCATACTTCTCTTTTGGGTGGACTCGTGAACAGCCTAAAATCTTCCATGGCCAAATAAAAGGTGGTGAAACAAAAGTTGGCCTAATCTAGGAATCCTAAGGACTCAAAAAAATAAGTATTCAAACCGAAAGAAACCAAATTTCATTTTGTCTCTTTTATTTACAAGTTTTACTTAAATATCTCTAACGGTTAGAAAATCAGGGTCAAATAAGAACATTGGTATACAGCTTAAAACACAAATGTCAGTAATTATTAAAGAACATGGTTAATTATTACAAGTAAATGCTTGGTAAATATTTTCCAGGAGGCAAGTTAAAGCGTTAGGTGACTGAGGAGTAAGGGACAGAGCCTCAGTCGGCTCAGATGGTTATAGGGCAGTCCAGACATGCTTTCCACGAGGTGATGCATTATCGCAGGCTGTGCCACCAGCCTTTAGCTCCAGCTCCAAGGCTACACCAGGGCTTTTTCTGCCGCAGGAAAGAGTCACATTTCAGAAACAAACGAACCACTTTCAGATGAAAGTTGGATGGCTCAGTTCCAGGATATTCTACTTTCACCCGGGAAGTTAAGGCTTCCCAAAAGCTGTCAAATGAAGACAGGTCACTAGGGGCTGACGCACAAAAGAGTCAAGCCAGACTCATTCTGGACACTTTTTTTTGAGTTACATATAATTATGCTCTTCTTTAATTAGCTCAAGTTCAAGCTGTTTATATTTCACTTATGTTTAAAAGGTGCCAAAAAAATAAGAAATAAAATAAAAGATGCCAACTCGATTGTATCTAAACTAAACTTTACCCAGTGTGCTAAATACTAGACACTTTTTAGGTCAAATGTACTTCTGGGAAAAATATGTTTATATATTAACATACCATAAACTTTGCATTTTCATTAAAATAAATTAGCTTAAATGTTACAAATAACATCTCAGAAAGGTAAATCTAAGGAATTTCATCTATTATATTAATTTGAATTTAGAATACCATCTTATCTACCCATTTTGATTCATCCCCAGAATCAACAGAGCTGCATTTATATAAAACAACACTAGATTATGCCAATATTATCAAAGTTTCTTACCTAAAATGATAAATATGCAATTTGAAGCACCAATGCATATTTTCTTCAAAAGTTACATCCAACATATTAAATGTTCAATCTCATATTCATTTAAATCTCATATTCATTTAAAAAGTTTCAGTCTTGGCTGGGCGCGGTGGCTCACACCTGTAATCCTAGCACTCTGGGAGGCTGAGGAGGATCTCTTGAGCTCAGGTGTTCAAGACCAGCCTGGGCAAGAGTGAGAACCCGTCTCTACTAAAAAATAGAAGAAAAAATTAGCCTAACAACGAAAAATAGGAAAAATTAGCCAAGCGTGGTGGCGTGTGTCTGTAGTCCCAGCTACTCGGGAGGCTGAGGCAGGAGGATCGCCTAAGCCCAGGAGTTGAAGGTTGCTGTGAGCAAGGCTGATGCCACGGCACTCTAGCCTGGGCAAGAGAGAGAGACTCTGTCTCAAAAAAAAAAAAAAAGTTTCAGTCTCAATATTGAAATCTCTATATAAAAGAAATAAGAAATGCTTTGGAAGACCTGAGAAGTACTATTAACCTCCTCTCAAATCCCAGTGTCCTGAAACAGTAGCTCATGTGCTTTAGGAAGGCCAATGACAGCAGAATAGTGGCCAGGGAGACAGATATACTGGGGTTTAACCAGAAGATCTGGGGTTTCCAGAATGTTGCCTGAGGCATTCATGGAAAGAACTGACAGTTCATGGTGGAAAAAAGGCAGACAATAATCAGCCTTTCTTCTCTCTCAATATACCAGCTAGAAAGCAGGAAAATTTATTAGGCAGAGGAAAAACAGATACGCTTGGAAACACAGGTGAGAGAAGTCTGTGTTCTCTTAGCTGTCTCACAAGTTATTGAATCAGATAAATTATGACCCATGCTAGGCTCCAAAGTAGGATTCAGACATTTTATATGCTGGTAAAGGCTCCAAAGATACTTCAGGGTTTAGCTGGCATCAAGAATAAAGGGCAAAGAAAATGTCAGATAAGTAGAGTCCTCAGTTATTAATATATCAACAAATATGCTAGCAGGATGAGAGTGATTCACACTTTATTTTTGAGTTAAGATCTAAGAGATCAGCCCTGGCACTCACGCCTGTAATCCTGGGACTCTGGGAGGCTGAGGCAGGAGGATCCCTTGAGCTCAGGAGTTCGAGAAAAGCCTGAGCAAGAGTGAGACCCTGTCTTTACCAAAAATAGAAAAAAATTAGCCAGGCGTGGTAGCGCATGCCCATAGTCCCAGCTACTGGGGTAGGGGGTGTGTGTGTGACATCTGAGGCAGGATCACTGGAGCCCAGATGTTTGAGGTTGCTGTGAGTTCTGAAGACGTCACTGCACTCTACCCAGGGCAACAGCGTGATGCTCTGTCTCAAAAAAAAAAAAAAAAAATCTAAGATTTCAGGCTGGGCGCGGTGGCTCACGCCTGTAATCCTAGCACTCTGGGAGGCCGAGGCGGGCGGATTGTTTGAGCTCAGGAGTTCGAGACCAGCCTGAGCAAGAGCGAGACCCCGTCTCTAGCAAAAATAGAAAGAAATTAATTGGACAGCTAAAAATATATAGAAAAAATTAGCCGGGCATGGTGGCACATGCCTGTAGTCCCAGCTACTTGGGAGGCTGAGGCAGTAGGATCACTTGAGCCCAGGAGTTTGAGGTTGCTGTGAGCTAGGCTGACGCCACGGCACTCTAGCCCGGGCAACAAAGTGAGACTCTGTCTCAAAAAAAAAAAAAAAAAAAATCTAAGATTTCAGAAGAGAAGGAATACTAATAGTTTCAGAATAAAAGGGCCAAGGCTTAAGTACCCAAAAGAGAATTTCTAAGATGAAACCACATCACTGAGCAGTTGCACTGGAAAATGCACAGAGAAACATTCCCCAAGCTAGAAGTATCCTAACATGTGACTGCAGGTCAGCTGGGACACAGACAAAAAAAACGAGGCCGTGAAACCTAGTTATTTGTTTTTCTTTTCAGTGGATGGCATAAGGGGGTAAGATGAGGAGAGGAATCAACAAATGTAGTTTTCTGCCTTGTGTGGTACAGGAAAATAAAACTGTCCGTTTTGTGGGATTATATTTGTTTCCATTTAGGGACACATTTCCTGTTGTTTGACTGCCACAAGAACTCATGAGAAGAGATTCATCCTCCAAAAGGATCCACATGGTTTATTTTCAAGTAAATACAAAGACTCTGCAGCCCACAGAAACCATTAAGTTACATTTTTACTTTTGCCGCAACTTCTATACTAAATAGGGTCTAATTCCTGAGGAGTAGCAATGGCAACATAAGCCCAGTCTAAGGGCAAGTGTCCCATCTGATAAATCCTCCTCTTCCCTCTCAGGATAGGATTCTGAGAGTATCCAGGACTGTTCTCCTTAAACCCTTGTTAGTGACTATTCTTAAGCCCTTCATGTTTTCACCTCTCCAGACTAAGGCTGAATCTTAAATCCACAATCCACCAAATAAGCCTGTCCAACCTAAACTCTTACAACTACCACTGTGCATTTTCTCCTTTCCCTGCAATCATCTGAAGAAGGAACATTCTTTTAAGATGTTTGGCTGCAGAAACTGGGTGAGGGGTTTAGCATAATAGAGGTAGAAGGATTGCATTAGGTGGAATAACAAAAGAATGTTTGAGAGGTATCAGCAGAGAGGTTAAATGCTAGGAATAAACCCCCAGAGGCTAAGTCCAGGAGGAAATTTTACTAATACAGGAAAGATGAGGAGTTAAGGCTTAGATTAGCTACCTCCTACAATGGATCAAAGTTTCAAGACTGAGACTCAGTGGAGACCAAAAGCAGCACAAGCATTAATAAATTCATCTGGTCCAGAGGCATAGATCCTTCTCAACTGAAAACCAAAACAAGTCATTCCAAGCATGCTTACAGTAGGCCTGTTGGCAAGTTTAAGGATTCAGTTTTAAGATAAACTAGAAGAGAACTAGAATGCAGTATTACAAAATGTTTTTGTAAGTATAATCACAAAAAAGTCAGGCTATTGCACACAAAAGTGTGCTGTAGTATGCTTTGTAAACCTAGATTTAGTAATTTAAACGAAAAACAAAAACAAATTAAAAGCTCTCTTCATAGTCTAGAAGTCCATGATTGTGAATTCAGGGCAATTATTAAATTTGCAGATTTTTTGCAAGAGCTCAGAAGATCCTGAAGTTCTTTATTCTTAGAATCATGATTAAATTTACCCTTTGAAGGCTCAGGCTGACACGTTTAACAGTATCTTTGTAAAAGCACTTGGGCTACACAAGCCCAAGCCTATTCTATAGTCTTTATGTTCTGCCCTCTGTATGTGTTAAGAGTTGATCAAAACATGGGGAGAAAAAAAATCACTGCTATTGTCTTTAAACCTAGGCTGTTTTTCCCCCCCATCATGTTAGTTAATTGTTTAGCAAGCTACATCTGACTGCTCTTTTAACAGAAAGGTTTGGATAGCTAGTTTAAGAGTAAGTGAAAATATTTTAGAAGAGCATTTATGTTAACCTTGGCAATAGGATGGGAGACTCTTAACCTCCCTTGTAATACGCATCAATTGATTCTGAGTTAAAATACACCACAGTGACAGTGATATCATCCCTGTACATTCTTGCCAAGTCCTCTGGCAATGTCAGCATTGCTGTCAACCGCTCCGGCTCCATCTCCCCATACTCATTGCTCCCGATGGCATGTCTGATCAGACGTGTGGCTGCATTTTGGTCAGCGTCAAGGAGCCTGCTGGCTTTCCTCTGCAGCAGCAGGCTCTGCATGAGCCCCAGGTTGGTGGGTCTCTGGGCCAGGTCTGGCTTGTGCCAATCCAGCTCGGCCAGGTGCCCCACCACCAGCCTCACCACGTCCTCATTGCTCAACATGTCCCACAGGCCATCTGAGGCCAGCACAAGGAACTTATCCTGGGGCCTCAGCCTGTGGTACGTGACCTCAGGCTCAGCAGTCAGGTATGGGGGAGTATAGTAGTGTGGAGGGGTGAACTGATAAATGTTGAGGGCCTCAGTATCGAAGCCCCTCTCCAGGACACTGCGCTGTAGCTCTTTACTCCACTTCAGCTGGACATCCCCGAAGGCCCTGCAGGGCATGAGGACACCCAGCAGCCTGTCATCCATGATGATTGTCCTGTCCTCTGACTTGGGGTGCTCCCTCTTTAGCCGGGACAGCTCGGCTTGGTTCCAGGCATTGTGGTCACGGGTGAGGGGCAGACAAGACCACATGCCATTGTCCTCCTGGACACCAAGGATGGCCCGGCAGTCACCAGTGTTTGCCACGTGCAAGTGAACTCCGTCAACATGGGCCATGCAGGCTGTTGCTCCAGAGAAGGCAACTTGGAGTGACAGATTTCTTGTCATCTCATCTTCCAAGGGGGCCTGAATTTCCAGCGAGATGTCAGAATCCAGTCTCTGGAAGGAGTACATTAATGCTTCCTCAATGCTCAGGCCCATTTCCACGTGTAGGTCAAGCAGTTCCTGCCAATAGACACGGAGGTGGTCAAGATGCACTGATGTGACATTCTTGTAGATACTGTCCCCTGGGTGCTTGAGCCACTGCAGCATGGGCAGCAGGGGCTTCATGCTTTCCATCGCTTCCTCCATCTGCTCTAGGGTCTGGTGGGACATCAGGGACACTGCGACGTAGTAGAAGAGCCTCTCGCTCACTGCTTGCGCACATGCATGACCACCATGTCCATCAAAGATGCCAAACATCAGTCCACTGGTCTGCAGGCAGGAGGCTACACCTCGCCGGTCCTCCACTGGGGAATTGGCAGCCAGCTGGTTGCTCTCATACCGCAACACTGAATTTGGGACTCCACTGTCAAGGTCAAGAATCTTGTGGGCTGACTCACCAGCTCGAAGCACTTCATTTACCTGCTCCGGGCTGAGTTGCAACTGGAAATCATCTTCCTCCGTGGACGTGTGCCTGTATGCCTTCTGAAGAGTAAAGCTACCACATGGGGAACTGTTTTTTAGGGTGGGTGGCACCTGAGAAAAGAGCTTCCATTTTGATTTATTCCTATTTGAGATACACCTAGAATATAAACGTCTGCCCCCTTGAAATGTGGCAACGCTGTTCCTTACAGAATTTAAGATCCAGTAGGCCACAGTACTTGACATTCTGAAACTATAGCAGCAAATGAGTTCTTTCAGGAAAAAAGGGTCTTTTTAAACCTGAAAATTAAAGTTTAAGAAAGTTTCAAATTTAACTACTTAAAAATACTGACTTCTGAAAATCTGCTAATATCCTGAACAAAAATGACTTAAGGTAAACTAAAAGAGTTGACTAAACTCAAATACTGAGTCACCCTACTCCCCAATAACACATAAATACATTCCAGAAAATTTGGAAAACAGGTTTTTATACACCCTCTGCTGCTACAGAGCCACTGCAGGCCTCGCTCATTCCTCCCAGCTGACCAGAGGCCTCTTTTTCCTCTTCTTCCTAAGCTCTTTCTCTTGACTGAGCTCAGCTCTTGACAGCTCCCAGGTTCACACTGTCCCCAGCAGACTAAGTGTTCATTTAAATAACTGCTTTGGGCAACGGTGTTCCATGCCTGTAATCCCAGCTACTCATGAGGCTGAGGTGGGAGGATCTCTTGAGCCCAGCCCGGGCAACACAGTGAGACCCTATCTCAAATTTTTAAACAAGATTATAAATATCTGCTTTCCTACTAGTCTATAAGCTCCATGAATTCAGGAACTGTGCCTTACTCATGAGCAGTTTTCCATTGCTTGTACCTGGCACACAGAAAGTCCTCAAATAATGGCTAAATGTGGCATCTCAGAGGCCCAAGAGGACACTAGGTGTGACACCAGCTGTCTAGCATCAGAAACACTGCTTCACTTGTCTAAGCTTCAGTTATCCATTGGTGAAATGGGAATAATACTAATCTCATAAGATTCTGGGAGGATTTAGTGAAATATGACCTCTCTGCTCAAAAAAAGTAGTTATTTATATCATTAGGTGTATACCTCTCTGGTCATTCTGTACATATTTTTATATAGTTGTAATCACAATTTGGAATCTGGCTTTCCTGTCAAGAGCATTTTTTTATGATATTACATTTAATGGATATGTTTCATCATAAACAATCACAATTTACTTAACTATTCTCTATTCCTGGGAGTTTAGAGGCTGTTTCCACTAACTTGCTGTTTATAAAACACCAAAGTGGGCCGGGCGCGGTGGCTCACGCCTGTAATCCTAGCACTCTGGGAGGCTGAGGCTGGAGGATCGCTCAAGGTCAGGAGTTCGAGATCACCCTGAGCAAGAGCGAGACCCCGTCTCTACTAAAAACAGAAATAAATTATCTGGACAACTAAAAAAATATATAGAAAAAATTAGCCAGGCATGGTGGCACAAGTCTGTAGTCCCAGCTACTTGGGAGGCTGAGGCAGGAGGATTGCTTGCGCCCAGGAGTTAGAGGTTGCTGTGAGCTAGG